AATGACAACATAAGAAAAAATGCTCGTACACTTGGGACATTATTTTATTCAAAAATATAAGGCTTCACGTGTTTACAGAGTAACAAGCACAGTTGTACATTACTATATTGCAGGTTTTTGCCTCCTAGATGACTAGCCGAACTCTCCAAAAGAGACTCTGTAATTTTATTTAAATATATCTCCATCTTTATGGAACTATTTCTATATTATTACAACACAGCAGACTCGTGATTTATGTTTCAATAATTTACACAATTTCAGGCACTTTCGAGAATTGTCCCATCATGTGTCTAACATAACTTCTCCTTCTGGGAGGTTGAGATTGTAACTCTGTCAACCCCACTGCACACCCACCCCTGCCCACAGACACAGCATTCCTAGCACCAGACTCCTTAAATCAGACCACTGAACCACATTTATTCCTATGCCTTAAAAAATCACAGGATACACATGACTCATCTCCCCAGAATGTAGTTTATTTAGTGGGAAATAATTCTAGATGTTATTCATCGAAATCAGACATGGATAGGTCGTGACATAGAAGTCAATACAAATCCACATTTTCTCTGCTGGCTACTTGGGCCTACGCCCCTGATCTCATGAGGCTTAGGAATGCAGGGTGAGTACATATTTGCCTCTAACACCCAGGGTATTTTTGCTGTGGGAAAATTTGAGAAGTACTGGGAAAATTACTGGCCTAAAGAGTAGACAGCAGGGACCTAGTTTTTAGTTCTGATATATACTACCTATGTGAGCTTGAGCAAACAACTTCTCTCCTGTAGGTCTTCACATCATTCACAAAAATAACAGATATCAGGACAAGTTCTAAAATGAGGAGATTCTTTCATCCTGCTGTATTGAGGCTGGTATTTCCATGACACCATTCAATTTGAATTGACAGTGAAGGAATTAGGAGATTGAGTGTTCCATGTTCCAGAGCAGGTGAAGAGGAAGAGGCAGAAAGTTGTTCTGAAGTTCAAATCAGCCCAGTTTAACACATGTATAGTGAGGCCTACAGCATACCAGGGCCTGGGAATGAATGTAAAGATAAACAAGAGGCAGTAACTGTCTGCAAAGAATACACAGTCCAATGTGCTATACATACAGTGACCACAAGCTACATGTAGATAATGAGCACTTGAAATTTGGTTAATTTGAATTGAGATGTGTTAAGACTTAGGAGACTTAGTAGGAAAAAAAAAATGTAAAATATCCCAATAATTTGTTTATATTGGTGACATGTTGAAATAATATTTTAATATACTGGCTTCCATAAAATAGATGATTAAAATTAACTTTTACCTGTTTCTTTTTACTTCTTTTTTTTTTTTTTTTTTTTTTTTTTGAGAAGGAGTCTCGCTCTGTCGTCCAGGCTGGAGTGCAGTGGCCGGATCTCAGTTCACTGCAAGCTCCGCCTCCTGGGTTTACGCCATTCTCCTGTCTCAGCCTCCCGAGTAGCTGGGACTACAGGTGCCCACCACTGCGCCCGGCTGGTTTTTTGTATTTTTTAGTAGAGACGGGGTTTCACTGGGTTAGCCAGGATGGTCTCGATCTCCTGACCTCGTGATCCGTCCATCTTGGCCTCCCAAAGTGCTGGGATTACAGGCTTCAGCCACCGTGCCTGGCCTCTTTTTACTTCTTTAATGTGGCTATCTATCAGAAATTTTAAAATTATGATTGTGGTTCAAATTGTTTTTGGTTGGCGGGTAGCACTGATGTAGAAGATAATGTAGACAGAGTGTTTCAGTGTGAAGATTATGAAAAGGTTATGTTTGAGAATTACAGAAGTACAAAGGAAGGACATGTAGCCCCACCTGGGAGTTTGGGAAAGAGTCCTGCAAAATACACTGCCTGAAAAAACAACACCTAGAGGCAGTGTGCATCTTGGAGTGAAACCAGAGTTGTTGTGAGGCAAGCTATAATACTTAGCCTCTCACTGTCTCCATTTCTTCATCGATAGAGTGGGGTTGATACTAAGACCTACCTCATCAGACTGACATCAGAATATAGTGAGTTGAATCATGTGCATGCATCCCATGGAGGAGTGATTGGCATGTAGAATGTGTGTCATGTATTATTGCCCTCCAGAACACAAGCTCCAAAAAGTCAGGGTTTGTTCTTTTGATGTTGGTCACTGCTCTACGCCCCAGAAGTATCACAGGGCCTGGTAATACTTGCCAATAAATGCTTGTTGGATGGATAGAGTATTTAGGGACTACATACAGTTCAGTATTATTAAAGTACTGACGGTGAGCTAGAGAATAACAAAGAGGGCAGCAGAACCCGGCTGGGCTTAATGTCCTTCCCTGCACCCCCATTCCAGAGGCAAGAGAGCCAATAAAAGATGCCAAAAGAGAAACAGCAGCCCCTTGTGTTTTCAGTTGCACTTAGCCCTTTACAATGTGCTTTCACATACTAGTTCCCAACTCTGCAAGGCAGACAGCGAAGGAATTAAGAGGCAACATCCTGGGTTTATTGAGGGAAGAATCCAACCATGAAAACAGGAAACTGAAACGCCTCACCAAATATCATCAGTGTTATTAGAACAACCAGAGTTCCTCGTTATCTTTTATTTTTAATATTTTCTAGCTCTGTTTTTACCATGGCCATATGCTATTTTATAGTCCGGGGAGAGGCATGCTGTTTTTTAAAAGAGATGGAGGAAAAGAACGGGAAGTTGGCTAGTTAGACCAGATGGAGTTCCCATTTCAGAGTGCAGTCAGACCCGAACTTCATTAGAGCGTCAAAAAATATCTGGATTGCACAATCACCATGGGGATGCCCTTGCAAGAAGATACTCCTAAGTGGCTGATCTTTCTATGGACTTTGAAGTCAAAGGTTGCAAATACTTTCTTTGCCACTTCTTAGCAATGTGAACTTTATTTAACCAAATACATAGCCTGGGCACTGCTCAGAGATACGATAAAAACCGAGAAGGCCCACACACTCCCTCCTTTCACCCATTTATCTTCACTCTTGTCCCTCCTCATCATCTTTAACTGAAAAATTAGATGCTCAAAATGCTTCGATGCCTTCTCTTTCCACTTTGAAGAAAATCCTGATTCCTTTACACGGCCTATAAGTCCTGTATGATCTAGCTTTTGCCTACAAGCATTCTTCTGGCCCCTAGACTCTAGTCACAACTCTAGTCACATCTGCCAAATATGCCAGATTTCTTCCGACCTGAGCCTTCACATATCTGGCTTCCCGAGCCTGGAACATTCAGCAAATTCCTAATCTCACCCTGACCCTTACTCTTTTCATGGCTGGCTCCTCTTCATGCTAGTAATCTTAGCTTAAATATTAATCTACTCATGGAGGCCTTCCAGAGCACCCATCTAAGTAGTTTTCCACCCAGACCCACTCTGTGATTTTTTTCCTGTCTCAGTACCTTCCTTGCTTCATACACCACAAGTTGTAAAAAAAAAAAAAAAAAATATATATATATATATATAAATATGTATGTGGACATATAACAAATAATAAATACATGTGTATACATACATATACTCTTGATTATTATTGATTTCTCTGCTAGATCGTAAGATCTGTGAGAGTAGAAACCACATCTGAGGTTTTTTAATTAAAAAAGAAAGTAAGGACAAGGATCTTGCTATGTTGACCAGGCTGGTCTCAAACTCCTGGCCTCAAGCAGTCATCTCATCTCAGCCTTCCAAAGTGCTGGAATTATAGGCATGAGACACTGTGCCTGGCCCCACATCTGGGTTTGTTCCCTCTATGTGCTGGGAAGTACCAGGCACTTAGTAAGCACTCAATATGAAAATCATGTTATTCTGACTGAACATCATTCTTTGAACCTGTCATTGTTGCACATCACCTGGGCTGAAAGCTGGGAGATTTTATTTTCTTCGCATTCATTCATTTAACAGCATATATTAGCACCTACAATGTAGTAGACATTTGTACTGGTCACTGGGAATATAGTGATTTTTAAGAAAAAAAGATCTAATCCCTGGCCCATGGAGACTGTTTTCTAGTTGAGGAAAGGACAGATAAACATGTAATAACTGTAAAGTGTGGTAAGTTATACACTAGGGGATGTATTGGTGACTAAAAGAACACAGAGCATATGAATTTTCTTCATGGTACCTTGTACCTTTCCCTGTGTTCACAGCAATGCAGTGGAAAGAAACAAATTAGCATTGCCCTATCAAGGAGCTTACCTGAGAGAAACCAGCTGGGAGATCACTCTGTTTTAGGCCACGAGTCAAAGAGAACCTTATTCATCATTATAGCAAAGAGCTTTTCCTGAAAGTCATTCTCCTTTATCATACTGACATGAAGTGATGCTGTGTCTGACACAGAATATAAATTCCACAAGAGCAGAACTTCATTTCATTCAGTGATTCCTAATATCAAGGACTGAGCCTCATCCATAGTAGATGCTCTATCCATATTTGTCGAATAGCTGAATGAAATTACAGATCAGAAAATCAAAGCTTACAGAGGTGAGGGACTTTTCTAAGGTCACATGGCAACCAGTTGGTAAATCTCATTTCTAACTCTACTAATTCTAATTGCTACTAAGGGAAATTTTGTTCTCCGTTGTTTAAAGATGCAGGATCGGAAACTCCCGCATCCTGCTCCCAGATAGGAGGCAAAGGGCCGAGATTTAGAAGGTTCCCCGCGGTTCCCTTGAAAGATACAACAGCAGGTCTGGGGAAGGGTTATTTCTAACTCAGGATATTTCGTTGCACATTTCTTCTCTCCTAGCTCTGAGGAAGTGCTCAGATCTGGAAAAAGCCATTGCCACCACTGCTCTGATTTTCAGAAATTCTTCTGACTCTGATGGTAAACTTGAAAAAGCTACTGCCAAAGATCTGCTGCAAACCCAATTTGGGAATTTCACAGAGGTAAGAGAATTAACTTGCATAAAGAAACAGGAACCACACCCTCATGGCTGACCCAACGAGCGAATAACTCCACCTCCAGGTCCCTGTCATGTTGTCTCACGTAACAAATGTTTATTGAACACCTACCTTATGCCAGGCAGTGAGCTGCACTGGAGTTGTTGCAGTGAAGACAGCAATCCTCACCAGGGGAAAGAAATATGCTAAAAGTAATTAAAAATAGTTGAAGTATGTGAAAGCGTAGAACATTCAGTGAGAGTAAAACAAAGGAACTATCTTGGGGCAGGTAGTCAAAGATGGACTCCTGGAAAACTAAAGTATAGCTGAGATCTGAAGGGTGAGCAGGAGGTAGCTAGGCCAGGGGGAGTAAGAATTATGGCATTCCAAGCAGAGATCTGGAGGGCCAGTTGGTGAGAAGGGATGGGACGGTAGCTGGGAAGTGGTTAGAGATGAGGCTGGGAAGGTGAGGAGAAGCCAAATCTTACAGAAGCATAGCCTGATAGCAAGAGGAAGCCAGGAACGGTTTCTATGTCCAGGCCTAAGAAATTACACCAGCTGCAGTACAGAGAACAGACTGGGGTTGGGGGTGGAATAGGAAAAAAGGGAATAACTAACTGTGGGGAGGCAATTCAAGAGAAAGACGGGAATGGCTTAGACTACGGCTATGAAGATGGAGAGAAACAGACAAATAGTAGAGACGTTTAGAAGGTGCAATGAATAAGATCTGACAACTGATTGACTGTGAGAGTTGAAGGACAGGAAAGCAAATGATGACAACCCAATTTCTGACTTAGGAAAGAAATGATGGTGTTCCCATTCCTAGAGAAGAAAAAGGCTAAAGAATAAGCAGGTTTGAGGTGGAGTGGAGGAAGGGAGGAGACGCTGAATTCCATTAGGATGTGTCAATGTTAAGATGTCCATGAAATATTTAAGAGGAGAGACTTAGCAACAGGATAGATGAGTTCAAAGGTGAGAATAGAGATCTGTGTTCAAAATATAGAAATGAGAGTCAGCAGTATATAATCAGTCACTGGCCTAAAGGTTACTACCTTACTCACCTAAGGGTATATTTCTCAAACTTCAGCCATTGAATACCACAGTTAGTATTTTTCCCACATCTGCCTATAGCCTGTGTTGCTTTGAACTTTTCCTTTATGTTTCTTTCTACTTAAGTAAATTTTTATAAGGACACTGTATCATTATTCTTATTATAAATTCAGTGGATGAGAGTAAAAAATAGTAGTGAAAAAAATAGATGACTATCAATTTTCATTTAGTGTTTAAAATTTATTCTTGCATCACCTAAAATGGCATTACATTCTATCAGCAGTATATGTTCATATTTTGGAAAATATCAGCCTAGGGAAAATGTTTAAGAGGAAAAGAGGGCCTCATATCAGCTTAAACTATCAATATTTATTGATGGGAAGAGCAAGAAAGCACATAGAGGCAGTCTCCAAGTCCCTATATCTGTTCTGAAATATTGAAAAGACAGTATTCTCTCTATATATGCACACATATACATACATATACACCAATATATAGTTTCAGTGCACTACAGTTACATAAGATGTCACCCACTGAGGGGAGCTGAGTCAAGGGTATAACTTTCTGTGAGTGGGTGATTATTTCAAGAGAGAAAGAGAGAATATAGTGTAATGCACAGATAAATGAATGGAAAGAAATGTTAATAAGGGTTAGCTATTTTGAATAATGGGGTAAAAGGTTACAGTCACAGTCCTTTTTTTAAATTTACTTTTTCTAAATGTTCTATATTAAGCATGTATTTTTCTGATTTTTTTTTTCGGGGGGAAGCTACTTTTTCAGGCAGAAATATCAGGCAGAATTTATTAAGAGATAACAAGTTTTGGGGAGTCTAAGGAAAGGATGGGTAAATAAATCCTATACCATTTGCCTGCATCCAAGGCCAAAAGAAATGGGGCCCATATGCCAGACAGAAAAGGGGCTCATTACCTGGTAGCCTGGCAAATGCTCAGCAAGCTTTTAACACATGTGAAAATGAAGAACTAGTGGACGCATCATCTTGATGTAACTCATCATCCCTGTCAGAACACCAGGGGAAAAGAATTAAAAAAACAGTCCTTAGGAAAGACACCTTCAGCCTCATGTCTCTCAGTGTAGGTTAAACCCTAGAAGTACAACCAATTTCTGGATCTCTCTAGCAGCAGGCACACCCAGGCCTCAGTGTAACCTTGCCGTCTGCTCAAGATGAAAGCGGAGCCATATTTCAGGGACTTGAGGGGGCAGTTCATCCCAAGGCATTCTCTGCAGTGTCTGTCAGAATGCTGCCTTGGCCCAACCACCGCACTCCATGAGACCCCGTAGGGCAGGTGCATGCACGTGAGTCAATGGTAAAGCTCAGGAGCCCACTTCATACCTAACTGGACTTTCTCCTCAATCCCAGTTGTGTCCTCTAATAAACGGAGCTGGTTCTTTTGGCTAAGGCCTGAGTTCTAAGGGGAACATTGCCGTTCCCATAGGGCTAAACATGCTTTTGGGGATCTTAGCACCTTATAACCAGTCAGACAGAATGAAACAAAGCACCTAAAGGCTCTACTGGGAAGATACACAAAGATGACAGGTCATGCCCCAGGAGGACTGGACCTCAGATAATGGTGCGCTCTTAAAATATGCAGGAAAAAAAAGAAGAAGACCAATACCTATCTCGTACCTCTGAGCAAACAGTGTGCCATCCTGCTAGTAGAGTGGCAGCCATCTACCTGTGTCTTGAAATCTGACCCTTTCCAAATAGCACTCAGCTGTGTTGGAGGGAGAGCGTAGAGAGCGCCCCTTGGCCCTCATGGATAGGGTGAAGGTGACCTCTTGAGGAGAAACAGCTGTGAGAAACCAGAATGAGCCTAAGCCTATAAAAGGAATGTAGCATCATTCCCAAAGTGCCTTAGTCATTGCTGTGATGGCTTTGTACACCTAGCACATAGGTGAGCATTTGGGGTCAAACTAAATGCAAATATGGTTCAATATAATGGTGAATCAAATGACTCTAACATTTTTAACGTCACTGGGGAAGATATTTCACAAGCTGTGATTTGAAACTAAAAAGTCTATTAAGATGTTTTCCTTCAATCTGACAATTTACAAAGACTATGAACATATATTTGATTTATAATCAAACTGAATGCTAAATAATCTTTCAAAGCACGTATTTTCTTTTAGCATATTGTATTCTATATTTCTGCATAATCTTAAGGCTCAGATAATGAACTCATGGTGGATACCTTCCCTAACACAAAGATTATATTTTGAAAATTTAAAAACACAGTATGTGTGCTCAAAGAAAGGCAGAATAGCTTAGCAATTAAGAGTGTGGGCTCTCAAGAGGTAGAAAGGCTTCAAACCCTGGCTCCACACCAAAACCTTCCCAGCTTGGGGCAAGTTGATTATCACCTGTCTCTGATAACTGCATCTGTAGAATGAGGATAATAGTAGTATATATTCAATAAGGTCACTATGATGGTTAGATAAGGTAACGCATAAAAAGATTTAACATGGTGTTTTACTGGTAGCACTGTTGGCAACTTGATGTGTTATTATTGTTAATAACATGTTTATCATTTACTATGATTTGGATGTTTGTCCCCTCCAAACTCCATGTTGAAATTTGATCTCCAATGTAGGAGGCGGGACCTTATGGGAGGTGTTTGAAGCATGGGACAAGAGCCCTCATGAATAAATGAATGACCTCCCTTTTGTGTGGGAGTGTTGAGTGAGTTCTCACTCTATTAGTTACCACGAGAGCTGGTTGTTCAAAAGAGCCTGGCACTTCCCTCCTCCTCTTGCATCCTCTCTTGCTGTGTGACCTGTGCATACACCAGCTCCCCTTCACTTTCTACCATGAGTAGAAGCTGTCTGAGGTCCTCACCAGATGCAGATGCCTCATCTTGAACTTTCCAGCCATCAGAATCACAAACCAAATTTTTCTTTTTTCTTTATAAATCACCCAATCTCAGGTATTCTGTTACAGCAACACTGAACAGACTAAGACATTATTGTTTATGATCTGTAAACCTAAAGTCTATATAATGAATTTGGTTTTTATTTCTCTATTCTCACAGGGACAAGAAACCAAGCCAAAATACAGAGAGATCCTTTCTGAACTTGATGAGCACACAGAAAATAAGCTATATTTTGAAGACTTCATGATCTTGCTCTTAAGCATCACTGTCATGTCAGATCTGCTACAAAATATATGGAGTGTAAAAATTATGAAATAAACAGTCTCAAATATGATGTATAAAATAATGGCAAAAGACAATAAAATGTTTCCATCTTATTTTTGATTAATTGAATATATCAATCATGCAGCTGGAATTGCCTAGGATAGTTCTGATTGCTGGTATTCAGATCCAATGTAACTCCAAAAATTTACCCATACACTTCAGGAATGTTTGAATGATAAGGTCTCTGTATGCTTTACAATATGATAGATTTGATACCACTGAATAATACATTGCTTTTGCTGAGTCAAAGGTGACCTAGAGCACTCTACTTATAGTCATTGAGTCACTCATTCATTCACTAAACATTTGTTGAGCATCTACTTGATGGGACTGCTGGGGATACAGTAATGAATCAGGCAGACAATTCCCTCCTTCAGACATGCTGGCAGAAGTCTAACAGAAGAGATGGGCATTTAACAATTTTTAATTAATTGTATACACAGTATAATTAGAATTGAAATAAAGGCTATAAGATGCTAAAAGAGATTATCACCTGATGTGAGTTCAAAGGTCAGAGAAGCTTTACTGACATTCTATAAAAGGCAAAACAAAAAACAAAGAAATTGGTCTATGGATGCCAGGGATATGGGTAGGAAATGGGGCTGTCCACGAATGGGCACAAGGAGTCTTTTTCTTTTTTTCTTTTTCTTTTTTTTTTTTTTTTGAGACAGAGTTTTGCTCTTGTCACCCAGGCTAGAGTGGAATGGCATGATCTCGGCTCACTGCAACCTCCGTCTCCCAGGTTCAAGCGATTGTCCTGCCTCAGCCTCCCGAGTAGCTGGGATTACAGGTGTGTGACACTAAGTCAGGCTAATTTTTTTGTATTTTTAGTAGAGACAGGGTTTTGCCATGTTGGCCAGGCTGGTCTCAAACTCCTGACCTCAGATGAGCCACCCACCTTGGCCTCCCAAAGTGCTGGGATTACAGGCGTGAGCCACCAAGCCTGGCCAAGGGAACTTTTAAGGGGGCTGGAAATGGTCTCCATTTTGATTGTGAGGTGTGGCTACATGACTGCATGCATTTGTCAAACTCATAGAACTGCACACTGAAAAGAGTGAATTGTACTGTGTGTCTATTAAACCTAAATAAATCTGACTTAACAAAAAATAAAACCCAGTATTCTTGTAATCTCTGACCACAATTTAACCAACAACTCCTTGGGATTATGATGTAAAAGTAGTCAAATCCCAGAGACCCACACCAACTCCCATGATCACCTCCTGTATTCCTGAATTTAAATTACACACACACACACACACACACACACATAACCAATGCCTGAACCTTTAAGATAGATTCTCACAAAGACTTTTATTCATATAGGACGTTGCCTGAGGACAGCAGGCCCCAGTAGGGTAGCTCAGCATATGGCAATGGGCACTCAAGGTCCCCAGAACGGGCACTGGGCAACAGCCAGAGGCACAAGCCTTAATCAACCCCGGCTTTCAGAGATGCCATCTTACTCTATCTTTACATGGGAGTAATAATGTCCCCCCTTTCCGACTGCAGGAACTGAGTCTTAGATTAGCTAAATGATGGTCCAGGATCATTCAGAAAATCAATTTCAGAGTCAGAATCCTGGCAGAAGCAAAGAGGTGCCAAAAGGGGAGGAGAAAGAGGAGACATAGTTTTCCGGCTTTGATTCCATTTTGTTCCAGTCACTTGCTAAGCTCCACAATCAGGCAGGCAGTCACCTAACATGTATTGCACTTCTACTGCAGGCTGTTGCCAGAGAGAGGCAAAGAGGAAGGAGTCACATGTAGTCTACTGGAGCTATTCTACAATCCTGTCAAATGCATGGTAGGACTTTACTTATCTGTTTCCTTACAGTTGAGTGTGTCCATCCTTTGGCCAGTGACA